CTTTCTTGGGGCCAGCGGCCGGCCTTTTTCGGCCCGCCGAATACCTTGGGCCAAGGAGGGCCAGCTGGGGCTTCGGGGCGGAGTGAAAGAAGAGGCGGGCAGTTTTCTGATCGCACATGAGTACAATGTGGTTATAAAGGGCTGGACATGGTCATCAACAATACTCAGGTAGACTTTGGCAATTAAACAATGCTCTCTTTGTACTAACAGGCCCAGCATGTGCCAAGAAAATACCCTCAGAAACTCATTCAAGGTAGAATGGGTCCATGTTTTCATATTGTTTATGCCAAATTCTGGCTCCATCTAAATGTCACAGCAGAAAGGAGGAGCAGAGGCTAATTATTTCCAATTTTTGGTGAGCCAGTGTAAATTTTAGCCTCCTTTGACACTGGTGCTCCTCTTTTACCACTGTTCTGCTTCAAGATTTGATGTGTTGTTTGTTCAGAAGCTCTTTCTCTTCCTCAGATCATTCTCTGTAAAGATTGTTCTGCATGAAAATACCAGTAGATCATTCTGAAATATTCAGACCAACGCTGCTGGCACCACCAAACAAGTCACATTCAATCCATTTATTCACCTTTCTCCTCCATTCTGATGCTCAGTTTGAACTTCAGCAGATCTTCTAGATCACGTTTACATGGCTAAATGTATTGAGTTGCTGTTATGTGTGCGGTTTGTTTTATCAAGGCCTTCAGAAGGGTCATAAGTCAGTCTCCTGGTCTGAAGAGCAGAAACAGCTGTGTCGTATTGATTTACAGCACAGGCTCATTTAAAATGTGTGTTTTAGCCTACATATTGTGAAACCTCATAAATGTCCTTAACATCCGTTTGATTGCGCTTAAGTCAATTGAACACTGTGAGGCAGTATAATGCTAACATGTTTACTCCTTTTTGCACTAATAATTTTCCAGACACATATTTTTAATCAATAAGGGGTCATTTTTATGGAGCACAATTCCACAAAACAACTTAACAGCGTCTATAATTTGTAATTGAATATGTTTATATGTAATCAAACATGCCTATCTATTTCCGTGCAGACAACTTTTCTGGTGTAGTCAGTTTGCATGGTAGCTCACGTATGGTGTTGTACTTAGAATCCAAAGAGCTCAGATTAAATTTGGTGAAGCACAGTTTCACTTGTATAAAAGCTGTGTAACATCAATCGTAGTTGCATTTTCTCTTATGTTTTCTTTTGAAAACACTATTGGTTGGATTCAGAGAAGGACTGAGTAAAACTCAATGAACTCAAAGTAACGTATTTCAGATTGTAAAAAAAATGTAGTCATTGCCCTCTAGAGGATTTGTCGTCTGAAACATCTGAAAATTTCCTGGAGCAACATATGTTTTACGAAAAAAAAGCAAATAGACTGAACCACTTATGTCCAATGAGGCTGGGCTGTAGATTTCAGGTCACATCCTCTCCATATGGATGAGTTCAGACACAGCTGCTCTCAGGCACATGTGTCTGGTGTTTGGTGACTCTCTTTATGGGACATGGCAGCTGAGCCGCTCTGTGCACTGAAGCAGTTGCTTCATGTATGCACACACTAAAGCTCATGTTTGCCCACATGCCAATTGACACATCTTTTGTCTGATACTATGATTACACCAAACAAGTCATGTACAGTTAATAGATTATTAAATAAGGCAAAGATATTGGTGTATATCCCTATGTACATAAATTATTTGTAAGTTTGGAACAATTTTATTTTGATGGTCCATTTGAGTATTAGTAGACTGTCTGCTTAATATCTGCTGGTACTGCTCCTTCAACAGACATTTAACTGACTATATAGGAAAAATTGCAAGTACATGTCAATTTACACTAAACCCAACCTAACAGTCTACTTATAATCTAATGAGAATTAGTTGCCATGTTGATGCAATGTAACTTATATTCAACAAACAGACAATCAAAATAAAGTGTGACCATATGCTTTTTTCAATTACAATATCTCTGATTGTATGCATTTGTTTATTTATTTTGTCTTCTTATAACATGTCTTCCCACCAAGGTTACTTCTCACTAGGAGTGCAACAGATGGGAATTGTAGGATTAGGTATACTGCAGATCCATACAAGGATAAAGACCCATCTCTGTAAAGGGTTCCCAACATACAGTATGGAACTAATGGAAGATGATGTTATCAACTGAGATTAAAGTGCACCACATGATATAAACTTGTTTACATTAATAGTTAAGCATGTATAGGTTTATTATAGTATTATTTCAAATGTTCATCTATATCTTTCCAGGGTTGGAAGTCTCCTTGCATTATGTATTAGTTTTTTTAGAATGTACAAGTGGTTACGCATGTTTTATTTTAGGATATTATGAGTCTTGATATTCTTCTTGTTTAAAAAAAGTATTTCTAGGCACCAGAGATGAGAATTAGCATGAGCTATTCACTGTTAAAACAGCATAGCTTCAATGTTTCGCTTGACAATTTGACAGTACCTATTAAAATAAACTAATAAATGATCAATTTGAAATTTTAAAACTTCAGCTAATATTAAAATGAAAATAATTAAGAATACTGTAAATAAATACAGGAAGCTCTTGAACATATATTTTAAAAAGATATACCTCTAGAAAGTACAGTAAGTTGTTATTGTTATTTTGGCTGTTTAAATCAGTATTGGCAGTGATCTCATGGCTATCAGTAAAAAATAAAAAATAAAAATAAAAATCACACGCAAATGGCTACAACAAGAGCAACCAACCTTAAGCAATTGGATAGATACAACTTTTGAGATCTGTATACAATGGAAAAAAATCACCTCTCTAGTCAATTTAAAGAAGAATATATTCCCGGGAAAATGAAGTAAATGGGTTGTATATTTTTCAGTTAAAAGACCCGATTTTATTACTATAAACAACTAGAAGATGCTCAACTGATAGATAAACACATGCTAATGTAATGTGTATATACGTATATGGTTGTAAATGAAGAGTTAAGATGCAAAAACCTCTAAATGCCATCTGAAATGTCCATTAAAAACAAACATTTTTCTCTGCCTCCTTTGTTTATGTTGAGATATTTCACATTAAAGACCAGGAAAATGACTTATTCTTTGCCATAAAAGTGATATTATAAAACATAAACAAACACAGGAGCCTAATAAAAATGCTAATTTTAGAGGAAAAATTCAGATGGCATTTAGAGTTTTTTTGCATCTAAAGTCTTCATATATACATGCTGTATTCTGTGTTATCCCCATGTGTGTAATGAAGGTGATTATTCTGGAAGGAATTATATTATGACATGCGTTCTTACCCTGGATGTAAATAGCTTTTTATTTTTATTATTTTATTTTTTATAATATTTTTCTATTTATAATTTAACAAAATTTGAGTACTATGTATAGTTAGTACACCTGACAATATTGTACACTGTAAAAAATAATTCCGTAAAATTTACGGTAAAAAACCGGCAGCTGTGGTTGCCAGTACTTTACCGTTAAAAACACGGTACAAACCGTAAAAGTAATTTTTCATTTTTACGGTAAATTACCGTATTTTATTAATTTGTAGAGGTAAAATGTCTGTATTTTGAATGATCAACATTTACACATCTTTTGTTAAACAGTTAGACACTTTAGCACACCCATATGCAGGTGGTGATGAGGCCAATGCTCATCACAATCAACTTTTCCCACAAGCAGAATAGAGTATCAGCACATAGAAGGTGCTCGGTGTCATTTACACTACTACTAAACACCAGTATGGTAACACGCATAAAATTAAAGTCATGAAATAAACATTGTTTATCAACATTAGATGTAACATAAATCTCTACTGTACATAACTGATGGGGAAACAACTAAAAAGATCCATAAGAATGGCAACCAAATGCATAAAAAGTGATGTGCCATGCACGGAATTCTGGGAAAGTCAATTTACGGTTATTCGCCGTATATATTAAGAAAACATAGCGTTAACCAGGTTACGGATTTGTACTGTATCATTTTTACAGTTTTCTACCGTTGAAATCACTGCCATTTTTTACAGTGTATGTAAATTGTATGTCACTTAAGGTCACATACTAAAATTCATATGCACCTTGAATTATTGTATGATTGTACTCAATTAAGTGCTGACAACAAATAAATAAATAAATAAATAAATAAATAAATAAATACATTTGAGAGGCATGACAGTTAGAACTGACAGTTATAATGTTTCCATAGATTTCAATGCTATGGAAAAAAGATTTCCATTTCACAACATAACATAATATATACAGTGTTCAACATAATTGAGTGAACATCCTTTTGAAAATGAATATTTTTATCCATTTCTCAGTAGATATAGGTCATATATTTTGGTGTATTTGAAAAAAATAAATTGATTAAATATTTATTTATTTATTTAAAATATTTATTAAAATAATATCTTAGCCACCAAACATCTTTAGAACTAGAAAGATTATAGCCTACATTTTAGTTCATGCGTAATATTGGAAAACAAAAACCAACTATAAAATTTCAGCAAAATTTTATAATTTTTTTGTTTCTTTTGATTTCTGCTCTTTTAAATTTTTGTATTTAATATTTTTCCCTAACATAAATTTGGGTGTACTAATTTTGGATCGTTATCTTAACTTATTTTGTTAGATTACCTCCAGATTTGGCTTTAGTACTGACTAATCTATTGCATATGTTTGTATATAATATTGTAAAGCTTCCCATAGAAAATATTCATTTAAACTGAAGATTTGTGAGGGATGTACTTATATATGTTGAGCACATATATGTTGAGTATATAGAATTATAAATATGCTGAGTGTATATAATTAGTTACAATACCCTCAAATCTAGTATACTCTGCCATAAAAGATCAGCCCCTCAGTTCCAAGTCCATGAATATTTCATGTTATTTGAGTGTAGAAGAAAGACAAAGAAGGGAGTGGCCAATCTGAAAGCCCTTGGGAAAGGCGGTGTTTCCCCCTCCTCATCATTCACACGCGGCCAGAACCTGCTGCTCCATCCACACAAGCACACAGCCTGACACTTTCTCTTTCAGCACTCCAGCCCATTCACTGCTTTACGGTAAGACTTTCTACAATCCAATCTTCTGGATATGCTTTAGAGGCAGCTTTGTGTTCTTTCTGCTGTTTTCAGAGAGATCGAGTCGGAAATGTCTAGAGATTTAAAGCGAGAACGAGTGAAATGACTCTGAGAAGCAGGTCACAGAACAAAGACAGAGGCGAGGCATTGCCAGGAAGAAAAGATGGCCAACAGGCATCTGCTTTGACACACTGGCAGAGATTAATAGGAATATATTTATGAGTATTAACAGCAGCTGTAGGACAATTTTATCTATAACTAAAATAAATTATAGTTTTTCTAATTATTTTTTTATGCACCCCTCAATTCTTTTCAGCTATTCATACAATATTGTTTCAGCCTGATGGAAAGAAAACATCCTAAATACATTTTAAGTGTTTTTTAAAAACACTTTATAAATTTGTGTTAAATTTTCTCAAAAAATCAGCAGAACTTACACCAGACTTTTTGACAGTTTATTCGCATCAATGGTCTGAATATTTTTACAGATGGACATGTTCATATGTAATTTGCCTGATTATATGCAACATTTTAATCTACAAAAGTAAATATGTGCAATAATTTTGGCTGTTCAGCATTATTTTCTGAACTTGATGATTAATGGAGTTACACCCAAAATCCCTTGTGTAAATAACACAGATTTTATTGTTCCAAAAAATAAGATAAGAACCTGATTTCAACCAAAGTTCAAAGTTTTTTTTGAGCTAGAATTATTTGCAAAGTAGTGTATATTTAATAAATTATGTATCATTTGCATATTTAAACAACATTTGTAAAATACTAAATAAAAAAATGTTTGTCATTTTTCATGTCATTGATAAACTGGGCAAGTATGGTAATAAATATTCATTTTTTTACCCAGTTTACTTGCAATGTCTTGCTTTAAATGAAAACAAGTGGAGAGAAAATTGGTAAAATGATGACCTCAGTAAACTCCACTGAACACTTTACTTGTTGAATTAAGATGAAATTATTTGTGTAAGGAACATTGTATTATATAAACATAATAAACTTGAATTTGCTTTTTCATCTGCAGCTCAAAAAAACATGGCCGACAAACCCAACATGACTGAAATTACATCCTTTGATAAAACTAAACTCAGAAAGACAGAGACCCAAGAAAAGAACCCTTTGCCAACCAAAGAAAGTGAGTATCTGATCACGAAACAATGGCCATGGATATGATGTTCATCAAATAAAATCAACAAAACTGATTTTATATACAGTTGAGGTCAGAATTATTTACTGCCCTTATTTTTTTTCTTTTTTAAATATTTGCCAAATGATGTTAAACAAAGCAAGGGAATTTTCAAAGTATGTCTGATAATATTTTTTCTTATTTGTTTTATTTTGGCGCAAATAAAAGCAGTTTTTATTTAAAAAAAAAAAAAACACACATTTTTAAGGTCAATATTATTAGCCCCTTTAAGCTATGTATTTTTCGATAGTCTACAGAACAAACCATCATTATACAATAACTTGCCTAATTACCCTAACCTGCCAAGTTAATCTAATTAACCTAATTAGCTTTTAAATGTCACTTTAAGCTGTATAGAAGTGTCTTGAAAAATATCTAGTAAAATATTATTTCCTATCATCATGGCAAAGATCAAATAAATCAGTTATTATAAATGAGTTATTAAAACTATTTTGTTTAGAAATGTGTTGGGAAAAAAAGCTTTTTTCAGTTAAATAGAAACTGGGCAAACAAAATAAACGGGGGGGATAATAGTTCTGACTACAACTTTATATGGAATGTTAAATGCTACATCAATCTAACATCAGTCTAAAATGGGTGCTAGCCAAACAACAATTATGCTTTGTAATAGCCTTTTCAGGGTAATACATTCATATTTTTTAAGCTTTGGTTTTGCTGCCTTTATATTTTAATAATTAAAAACAACAAATGGGTAAAACCATAGTTTGAATGAAAATGGCAAATATTAAGATTAAAAATGATAATGGATTTGGGGATGGACTGTAATCTTTAAATAAACCCAATTTTGCATCAATGTGATTTTTTCTTAAATAAACCGAAGACATTTTAATGTATGGGGACAATATAAAAAGAATGATGTTTGATTAAAAAATGGTGTTGTTTGATTATTCATTCCTTGTACATAATTTGATGCTGAAATTAATTTCTAAAATCAGTGATTGTTTCTCTTAACACTCATGGAATTTATAAAGTTGTCCTTGTACTATTGCTCTGTTTTTCAATCATAATGATCAAGTCGTTCCACCTACTTTTCTCTTGTGCTGGAGAATAAAGCCATTCTGATCTCCGTTCACATCAAGCACATCTCAAGGTCTGTCTTTTTTCTGCAGCTATTGAACAGGAGAGACAAGGAGAGTCCACACCGTGAATGACGTCTGTAACACAGCAGAAAGTGAAGACCAGAGACTTCAGACGAACTCAAGCACTCACTAATGTGTCTTTTTTTATAACTTAGATTGTCCGTTTAAGAACTAAATCAAATGTGAGAATGTATTTCACCCTGTGAGTTCAGAAAACCAAATAAAATGCACCTCATTTTTGACACAATAATAAGTTATTTTTCTGTATTTTCTCCAGATTTGTTTGGATGCATTTAGTTGCTTGAAAAAATGCAGTAAACTACTTTTTGGTGCTACACACCAGCAAACTTATGATTTTAGTAATGTGATTACAATATTATAATGATATATAATTTAATGAACTAACTTTTCCTTTAGGTCTAGTACATATTAGCTACTAGTGCTTTTTCTTTATGTATTATTAGATTATTGATTATTGAATATTTGAACCTTTTAAAGGATATACTTGCATTTATTTATTTGATTAAATATAAACTAAATTTTATTTATCACATACAGTGTTGGGGTAAGTTACTCTTGAAACTAACGCATTACAATATTAATTACTCCCCAACGTTACTTAGTTACTTTTTATGGTATAAGTAATGTCTTACATTACTTGTGTTACTTTTTATTACATGGCTGCGACTTACTCTCTTTCAGAACTTGTTTTTATAGAAGAGTTTTGTAATTATCAACGCACTGTATAACCCACACCTTTATTCATCTTAAATTAACCCCACATCTTTTCACATATTTTAGGATAATGTTATCTAAGAACTTCCTGACCCCAGAGCTCTACATGCCATATATACAGATTACTGAAAGTTTAAAGCAATGTGTTTGCTATGTTTGTCCTATTTGTCTCAAGTAAAATCACTGTCCATTAAGACAATCCCCTTTTCCTTTTCGTAGATGCTTTCAATATTATGAACACATTCTCTCATTGACTGCGTGATTCATCGTGACTACTTTAATTTTAATTCAGCTAATTAATTAAACTAAGAAGTAACTCACATTACATTTTTAAAAGGTAACTCAAATATTATTACTTAACTTTTAAAAGTAATGCCTTACTTTACTCGTTACTTAGAAAAGTAAATTATTATGTAAATATTCATTGGTAACTAGTTGTTATTCACTAGATATTACAATATTGATACATTTGTACCTATTAAACTGATACATGTATTCATTGATTGGCACCTTTAGACATTCATTAATTCCTTTACTTAAATACTTATTTGATTATTCATTTATTAGATGCTATGGTATCTTTTTGAATTAGTTCCATTTGCACTATACTAGTAAAGACACTATTAGCATTTATTAGTTACCACTTATTTATTAGACACTAAAATGCATATACAACATATTTGAAAATTTACCATTAACATATTTTTATTTTACAATTAGATCTTTATTAAACTATCCCGCGACCATCCTGAGTAATCGTAATATATTGATGAGTAATAAGCATGCTGTGAATATATCGTCACCCTAGAATTATAAGGTTCTATCTGACATTTTTGTCAAAATTGAGTTATTGACATATTCTTAATAAATGATAAATAATTTACATTATGGGATGCTTTTTTTATAAGTTGTTTACATTAAGACTTTTTATTTAAAAAAAACAAATGTTACACACATACTGTCTGCATTCAGAACACAAATAGAACCTTATACATCCAAATGACGATATGGTAGCCTACTATAGAACTGGTAATAATTACAAAAAGTCGCTAAAATCTAATAGGCTACCTTAAAAATAATTACTAGCATTAATTAATACCAAAATCAACTGAATAACCACAATCTATTTAATAGTTATGATAATGATCTGATATTGATATTTCAAAGTAAGATCTCCACGGAATTCAACAGCAAAAATACATTTGTTTCAACAATTGAACAGCTAGCATCTAGTAGCTCATCATGAAGTACTAGTATACTAGTATAGTTCCAATCAAATTTAGTAGTTTCTGCAAAAGTATCTTACTAGTTTTAATGTAGGCCTTTATTAAATAGGCACTATAGCATTTAATGAATTAATTAACTTTGTATGTCTAAACAGATAAGTCTATTTTAAAAGGGTTCCTGTGGGCAACCTAAAGAAAAAGCACTTGTGATTACTAGTACTTACAGTCTCTCAAAAATAAGTAGGCCTACTAACTGAATACATATTGTGCAGAGGTGCCCAAAGTAGGACCAGCGTGCCAAAGTTGGCCCATGGTCAACTTTGGATTGGCCCGCCATCCTATCTGAAATGAGAGGGAGAATGATAGGGAGTTGAATGGGGCAAATGGCTTTGACAGAGATCGTCATTGTGTATTTAATGTAAGCTTTTCTTTGTTTAATTGAAGACCTACAAAAAAAAAAGCCAACTAAAATAAATCTTGTAAACGTTTTAAAATTTAACTAATGCTGCCCCTTGGCAGATCACTTGACAAGACATAAGCAAGCAAATCAAGACAAAGGTAGGAGCTCGACTAGCCTATTCAGCATTGATCTGTTTTATAAATGGGATTGTTTATGTTTTTAAGATAATAATTTCATTATAAAATGTTTAAAAAATTACACTGCATCCTTAATTAATATGTTTAAAGTAACATTTTCTAGCGATTTTTAGATATTAATAAATTACACATGGCAAATATAATGTAATATGGTTTGGTGGTTGTAAACCAACCGGAAGTGTTGCACAAATATAGTCATGTTCGCGACGAGGTGGCCGAGTGGTTAAGGCGATGGACTGCTAATCCATTGTGCTCTGCACGCGTGGGTTCGAATCCCATCCTCGTCGGAAATCAATGTTATGCTAAACATTTACCCGAGAAACTTTCGAACCACGAGAAGCTTTAAAATCACGTGTAAAAGGAATTCGTTGGTCATTTCTACTAGTGCTTATTCCCGAAGTAGGTATCGTTCTGTCTTTGCATCTAGTGTTCACGTCTATCATAATAGAAGCTGTATTTACTTTTTTTTTTTTATTTCGTTATAAAGCGTCTACAAAACATGAATGTAAGTATTTAGTTTATTTTATTTGAGTAAGACAGTTCATGAGTACTCTTGCATTGTTTTACCACTAGATGTCACTATTGAACAGGATTAACACTCACTGCCACACATGCTGTGAAGCTGTTGCTGATTATGTCCAAGTGTGCCCCACACGTGCTGAAAACGAGAAGCCAAAATATTTCACTCCCAGTGGACGTCTGCAGTTTGAGTATGTTTAGTCATAATCCGCGTCACACAGCGTTTTTCCCAAATGTGGTTTCTGTCCTTTTGGTTAGCTATTTCGTTATATCAGACTGAGGTTTAGCCTACTCAAATTGTATTTTTCTTTTTAGAAAAGTAGTTTGTTTTTTAGCTTGTGACTTAATGCGAGATGTGTCACTGCAGGAATTTTAACCACGTGCGCCCCAGTTCGTGCTAAATTAACTACTGCGCAGACTCGTGCTCCAGATGACGTCATTGGCACAGAATGGCCACACCTGGACGTTTATGGCTTCAACTTTCTAAAAAGTATAAGAAAGTGGAGATTTTTCGTCCAGTTCTTATTTTGACACTTTATGATTGTAGACAGAGTTTGGGCAAACAAACATTGAAATGTATTTTTTAAATAAAATACCAAATACATAAAATTTAAGTGTCTCAAAATAAACTACAAATTACAGCAGTCATAAATGTATCAAAATATATATGTAATGTATAAACGTATTTTTAAAACACTACAAAATACTATTAAAATGGAGCATGAAATGTCTTTGCAAACCTTCCATCAAAAGAGGAGGGGAAGTTGTGGCCTAATGAGTTGGACTTGTAATGGCAACTTGTGTCTCTTTACAAATACAAATCACAATACATCCATTATTTGTACTTTATAATCCCAAGCTTCTTTTAGTTCTTCTTTATCTGGAAGATTATTGGTTTACCAGTACACCATATTTAGGAGGTTAAGTTGCCCTGCATTTCCAGCTGCAGTACCGAGACTGATGCTGTTCTGAAGGCTCCTTATTTTGTTCTTCAGCACAGAGATTTTATTACATCTAATTTCTTAAACAAAGATGCTGAATTGTACACTATACAGCCATTATATATTTATGGTCTTAGCATATTGCTCAGTAGCTATTTTCAATGGTTGTTTACTTGCTCCTGAATATACCCTCACCATTTGTCTGTTACTTTCAGCATAATTTCCATCCATACACCAATCCTTGAGCAACATCTTTTCTGCTCTGATCTTAAGCTTAGGCAAATAACTGAGAAAGCACCAATCAGAGGTCTCATATTTTAATTAAGTTATCATATACAGTAGACTTGCAAAGAATTTTATAGTATTTTGAAAATACAAAGTAATTAGATAATTTGGTTAACCCTGTCAAATACTAATTTGTATTTAAAATATGTATTTTAAATACATGTATCACTAATACTGCCCAAGTGCCCATCCCTGCTGGTAGGCATAATTATACAAATATTAGTGTCCTGCTGCATACCATTAACATCAAGCTACTATTCTGATATGTTGTAAAGTTTTGTTCAGATTTTCAGCTTAAAGGGTTAGTTTATCCAAAAATGAAAGTCTGTTATTAAATTTTCATCCTTATGTCTATCCAATCCCCTGAGATCTTCAGATTTTTAGAATACAAATAAATCAGCAGACATGGGACATTTTTTTTATTTTTATATATTTTTTTATTTTGGGGGTAGGGGGTCCTTATGATTACAGTTGAACCACAGAAGTAACAATGCTTTGACAGTGTTTTTTGTTTCCTTTTCTTGACTTTGAACATCTCATGACTATTGCTGTCTGTGATAGACAAGGGAGCACTCAGATTTCATCTAAAATATATTTATTTTATAACAGTTTATTTATTTTATAATTACATTTTTAACAGAAATGAAAGGCTTAGGCTATTGGAATGACACAAGTATGAGTAATGGATGGATGAGTAATTAAAAACAGCATTTTCTTTTTTTTATTGAATGTACTAAAGCCTTTAAGTCTGTTGCATATTGTGACAGTATCTATCATCCTATCATTTGTAGGGTTGCATATGTTATATTTATACAAAATAAATATTTAAATGTTATACTGAATCTTTGAACGTGCATAGACATTCTATGTATGCTCAGTGGGGTATATGCACAGCCAGCCGGCCTTAGCGTTTCCGGTGAACTGCCTTTTCATTATAAACTTGCCTTATTTGAGGTCTGATTTCTTTAAAAGTCAATGATTGTCGCTGCCTGATAGATATATGATATAAAGTGGGTCTCAGACCATAAAAGAAGCCATGCCATGTCTTTAAAATATGACAGTTTATTTGACCCTAGTATTTTCAATGGAGTTTCTGCATTTGACTGCTGATCTTGATGGTGCTATGGTCTTTCATCTAGTTTTATACTTGAACAACTAAATGAATGCCTAACTGAACATATTTTAATTACATTACAATGTTTCCCAGAGATAGGTTGCGGCTGGAAGGGCATCCGCTGCGTAAAAATGTGCTGGATAAGTTGGCGGTTCATTCTGCTGTGGTGACCCCGGATTAATAAAGGGACTAAGCGGAAAAGAAAATGAATGAACGAACAACATCAATGCTGTAAAATAAACTATATGCAATTGAAAATAGTCATATTAGGCTTTCACCAGTGGTTTATCATTGGCTGAAAAGATCTAGCTGTGCATAAACCCCATTGGGAGTGTTAAGTGAAAGGCATTAAAGTTGTTCTAACATTCAACACTGACATAGAATAATGAAGAATTTGAACAAAGTCACACCAGGGCATTCAAGCATTCAGGGCCATGACATGATATAACTCTTAATTGGCAGTCAAACTCAGTATTGCCAGTCAATTACTGTTTAAATAAGTTGATGAGAGAAAATGAAGCTGCCAGCAGCTGCTGTAAACATTACGTGATGCCGGTTAGACGGAGTCACGAAGAACTTACAGGGTTGGGTTTCAAGGCTGAGTACGAGAGGAATGATAAGGAGGAGAGTGTTAAACAAAACAACAGCTGCTTTTGTGTACCATTGACACTATCAGTATTAGTAAGATCACATCACTCCATACTGACACTGAATATTGGCAGCTTTCAAAATCAAGCTATAATCATATTAGTGTACACTAATCAGGTTGTACTAAAAATAGATTTTACAAACAGCATTTTTAGAATCAATAAATGTATACAGTCTGCAGCATAAATTAGTACAACCACTTTGAAAATTAATATCTGTATCAATTTCTAGGTGAATATGTACAATATGCTGTATGTTGATGCATTTACACATCTGTTTTATTTAACAGTTTAAAATTAGAGTGTGGTCCCCTAACATCTTTAGGAATACAAAGATTGCTAAAACATTTAAATTCAAATAAAGTACATACATTCATTTTCTTTTAGGCTTAGTCCTTTTATTAATCAGGGGTCACCACAGCGGAATGAACCGCCAACTTATCCAGCATGTGTTTTACACAACAAATGCCTATTCAGCTGCAACCCAACACTGGGAAAAAATTACAAACTACTTTATTTCAACTAAATGTAAAATTGTTACGGTTCTCTTGAGTTTTCCTCTTTGTCAAAATTTTGTTTATTACTTCCCCTTAACATACTCATTGGGGGGTACACATTTTTGCACCATGATTTTCAGATACTTTATTAGTTTCAGTTTTGACTTTGGTACTGACTAATTTAATGTATTTACACAAATTTCTTATTTTATAGCGTCCAATATAAGGTATTAATTTAAATGGATATCTGTAAAGTGTGTACTTGTTTATGCTAGTCACTGTATTTTAATTGAAAACTGTATAAAAATGTTACAAATCAAATGGAACAGACGTATATTCAATCCTAGCTTTGAAACTTGAAATTTCTCATTGCCTTGATCATGAACTTACATTTCTTACTGATTTCAGAGGGAAAAAACAAACATCGAAGAATCAACACGTTTAGAACACTAGAAATAAACTGCTATCAGATCAACCGGTCAGTACTGATCATGGTTCAGGGCTAGAATGGATGTTCAATGTGCACTTTATTGCTTCTCAGTATAGACAGAGTGACATTCTAGGAACGAGCCAAATTCTCACATGCTTAGGACAAAGTGCACACCATAAGTTTTTTTATAGTTTGGGTGAAAAGACTGAAAGGACATTACTGTTGACTTCATCAGGAAAAAAAACACACACAAATATTGGTAATGTTTGTAAAAGTTAAAAATATCTCTTAGGCTATTTATATGCCCTTATAGAGACTTTCTTACTTTGTACAACTATCTATCATATGTACACGCATTTTGTTACTAAAAAATGTTTATTTAAAAATAAATAATGTTATTGCTTACAAAAGGGAAAATGACATTTAAAGGATAGGATAGTTCACCCTAAAACTGGTATATGCTCACTATTTGAGGACTAAATGCTTCCAAATCTTTATCAAATCTTTAATAAAGTTTCTTTATTCTGTTGAACACAAAAGAAGATATTTTGAAGAAAGCTGAAAACCAGTAACCATTCACTTCCAAAGTAGGAAAAAAGTCAATAGTCTTTAAAATATCTTGACAGAAGAGTGAAAGGGAAACATGTTTGATACAAGTAAAGGGTGTGTAAATGATGACACAACATGCAGTTTTGGGCAAACTATCCCTTTAATAGGTGATTAAAAGAGTTTTGCACAACATAGCTTCACTTCAAACCATAGTATAGATTCAATGTAATGTTTTTGGAACACCTTCCTACTACAAAGTGATGTGTCGTTCTGCAGAAATAGATTGAGTAGCATACTGTGATAAAACCCATGTTCTTTAGCATCACGTTAAACATTCACATTACACATGTGAATATACCTGAAGAATATTTTAATCATGCATTGATCCTCTTCAAAATTCACTGATGGCTTTGCTTGCATTGAGAACAAAGTTTTTATTTCTGCTTGTACAGTACGTCTTGCTTGTGGACATTTTAGGAGAGTTTAGCACTCCATATCAGCACTAGAGATTGATAATAACTTAATTTTACATACAAAATAAAATTCCATTGTAGAAACCATTTTTTATGGGGGGTGGATTGCTTGCCGTTTTATGTAGCATTTCAATTCAATTAGCAGTCTTACTACAAATAAAATGGTTAAACCTCTTGGTGTGGCAAGATGGTAACCATGTGGCTACCATGGTTTAAGTGTAACATTCTGGTTTTATTTGTGGTAAACCTTGGTAAATCATCAAAAGGGAATTTCATTCTTCACATCATGGTTATTGCCAAAGCTGCAAGAAGTTAAATGCAAAATTGGCACCTTAAACAGAAATAAAACCACTCCTGATGATACAACTGACCTGACAACATATCAGTGACATGAAGTGTCTAATTTACGGATCATGTTCAAGTGCATTTTAATTAAAGTAATTTCACATTTGACAAAAGTGGCTTCTCATTTCTGCTTTCATATCACATAGAAACTGGCTCTATTCTTGATCATCATACCCTAGATTTCTGCCTTTTTTTCTACAGAATTGTGATGCATGCAGTGAACTCATTGTCATGTTCAAGAAATCAGTCTGAGATTAATTGTGCTTTATGACATGGCGTGTTATTCTGCAGGAAGTAGCCATCAGAGGATTGTTACACTGTGGTCATAAAGGAATGGACATGGTCAGCACCAATACTCAGGTAGACTGTGGTGTTGACATGATGCTCAATTGGTACCAATGGGCCCAAAGCGTACCAAAAAATATCCATTACCATTACACCACCACCAGCAGCCTGAGCTGTTGATACAAAGCAGAATGGAAGCATGCTTTCATGGTGTTGATGCCAAATTCTCACCATACTATCCGAATGTTGCAGCAGAAATTGAGACTCATCAAACCAGATAAAGGTTTTCCAATCTTCTACTGTCCAATTTTGGTGAGCCTGTGCAAATTGTAGCCTCGGTTTAATGTTCTTCGCTGATAGGAAGTGGCACCTGGTGTGGTCTTCTGCTGCTGTAGTCCATCTACCTTAAGGTAGAGACGTGTTGTGCATTCAGAGATGCTCTTCTGCATTACTCGGTTGTAACAAGTGCTAATTTAAGTTACTGTTGACTTCATCTCAGCTAAAACCAGTCTGGCCATTCTCCTCTGACATCAACAAGGCATTTGCACCCACAGAACTGCCACTCACTGGATATTTTCTCTTTTCTCTGTAAACCCTAAATGCTTTGAGTTGCTGCCATGTAATTGGCTGATTAGAAATTTGTGTTAACAAGCAGTTGGACAGGTGTAGCCAATTACATTTTTTTACTCTCATTAGGTGTTGATCTTAGTTCACTTGCATTTTATGAATCATTAAGGATTTTCAGCTAAAAACTTAAATGTTTTGCTAAAAAAAATATATATTAAAAAAATTACCAACAAAAGTAAAACAGCAAATGTAAATTTTTTGTTGAACTATCCCTTTAAAGTGAATACATATATTAAATAAGACACAAGTCAAGAGATTCACATGGTGTTTTCTATTAGTTTTATTGCAAAATGTCATATTATATCCAGAAAATGAACAGTGCACAATACAACAATTGTCAGCCAACTGCTGATTTCTGGCATATGACTTAAACAGCCCTCATAGGGTCGTAAATCCATTACAAAAATGAAGTTGTTGCATTTGAACTATCCTAAGATAGTAAAAGTATAAATTGCATACGGTCACCTTCAGAATGTTTGTAAATAAAGAGAAAAGAAGGCACTAAATCGCAGCTGCTGCATTAAAACAACAACAAAAGCCGCATTTTCACCATAATATCCACCAAACTCAAGAAAAAAAAAACTCCTCCCCATAACAGAGACTCTCGCTCTAAGTATTGCATGAATTACAAAAAAAGTCAAAAAAGTATGGAGGCAATAATGAAGGAACGGCCTGCTGGTGTGATCCTCCTTCAGATAGAGCACTGGTGGAACAGGCTGAGACAGTCAGTTTATATCCAGAAGAGCTGCAGACACTTCATATGTCAATCACAAACTGGCTGTCATCAACTGAGGAGAGAAACGAGAGAAAGAGAGAGCGGTTAGAGGGTTCAAAGAGTTGCGTCACCCTGTGGATGGTCTCCTGATATGGAAATCAGACGCACCGACTAGGAGCAGGTCAGATGCAGTTTTATTTGTTTTTCTCATGAAGTCATTTCAGCCATGGTGAAATGTGACTGCGCTTACAATGCAGTAGTAAAAAAATAAAGGAGTGCCCCACATTGCTCTGATTTCACTTCATCTCAGTGATAAACAATGTTTTATTTGCTGAATTTAAATCCACTTACATGGTTCTTACACTTATTCCACAGTCAAATTAAAGCATTTTCCAGGTTAATTTTTACATTCTTCCAGCAAGTTACAAGTGTGGCAAAATTGATATACTTAATTACATTATTCAATTATTTATTTTCCTTCAGCTTAGTCCCTTTATTCATCAGGGGTCACCACAGTGGAATGAACCGCCAACTTATCCAGCATTTTTTTTACAGAGCGGATGCCCTTCCAGCTGCAACCTGGCATGGGGAAACAATCATACACTACTGACAACTTTGTTTATTCAATCTACCTATAGCACATGTCTTTGGACTGTGGGGGAAACCAGAGCATCAGGAGGAAACCCACATGAACACAAAGAGAACATGCAAACCTTGCCACTTCATTACATTATATCTGATGGTATTTTTACAGTATTTTATAGTATAGTATTTAAAGGTAAATTAAACAGAATAACTGTTATTTACTGCATGAAATGTCATTCACACAGTTTCTAAATGTCTCATTTTTTATCCTAAAAGTATTTTAAATTTAATTTAATGCATTTTTCATTCATTATGTGGTAATCTACTTGTATTTTGTCTTCTCGCACCACTTAATCAAAGTGTATGGTTACAGAAAGACAGCCAGATCACACTACAGGTGCAGACTCCAGATGTTTCTTTTAATACACATGCAAAAAATAATAAATATTTTTATGCAAATACTTAAATATTATTATATATTTAGTAAAAAATTATTATGAAAGCAAAACAAAAAACAATTACATTATGTAGTTTCAAGGACTTTATCCAAAAATTGCAGCACCCATACAAATTCTATATTGTCAATATTTTTTAAGCCTCATAAAAAAATTGAAATGATCAGATGAATTACTAATTTCAGATCTGTTAAAACAGAACATATAATTGACATATGATTATACATGGATATGACGTATAAAAATAGACATATAATTATGTATACACATCTTGTTCTCGTACTTGTTTACGGTGACGGAGAGTGCTTAACATGCAGCAATTTAAGAAAATATGTGCAATTACAAAAAACACCAGCAAATTAATAAAAGATTGGTTTGACGGCAAAAGTGCTGCAAATCCTCACAATGCAACCAAAAAAAAAAAAAAAACCTGCTGCATTTTACAAACAACGAAAACAAATTAATAAAACGTGCTGCATTCTCACAACACAAAAAGAACGGAACACAGCAGAAAATGTTTCAACTGTGGACCCAAAAATGTGACGGACGCTGACTTGCCGTGATTATTGCTCAGTGAAGTTGTAGGTGACCATGGAAAAGTGAGTTTTTGTTTGTTTATTTTAACATCCTGATTCCCTTTTCTTTCGTATTTCACTAGCCTAAATAACCATAACCTAAATAGCTGGGTCCGTCATGTTATAGGGTCTCCTTGAAATGTTTTCATGTTCTGAGCTTTACTTAAATTGTTTGCGTTCTGAGAAAATGCAGCGCATTTCCAGAAATTGTTTGCGTTATTAGAAAATGCAGTGCGTTACTGTAAATTGCGTTGTGAGAAAAAGTAAAGCGTTTACGTAAATTGTTTGCTTTGTGGAAAAATGCAGCACATTTTTAAAAAATTGTGAGAATTTGCAGCCCCCCACAAATAGTTTTTTTTTTTTGCATTTTGTTTTTTACTTTTTTTTTTGGATAAAATGTGTAGCATATTTCTAGTGCAAGATAAAATATTACACCAAAGATAAAACCAATGATTTATAAGTAAACATTTCTCTGATGTTTACAGCATCCTGCATTCTCTTTCTCATGACCACTTTTTTTGCCATTGTCTCATTTACTGTACATAAATTCCCATGTGGGTCTTGCTCTGTCACATGCAGTGCATACTATACACAACAGTGATGTGACATTCATGTAGTTGATGACTTAAACGAAGTCAATCAGAAACATGATTAAACCTGTTCCACAGGTTTAGCTCAACACTGCAGCTTTGTAAATGAAAAATTATATACATTGCGCTAGGGCTGGGCCGATAAACCATATTATATTGAATTGCGATAAAATTAATGTCAATAACAATGATAAGCTCTGGACCTTTTTTTTACTTCATATTGATCTAAGAGCTTTCCTCCGGGTGCTCTGTTTCCCCCACAAGTCCAAAGTCATGTGGTACATGCGAATTGGGTAAGCAAAATTGTCAGTAGTGTACGAGTATGAATGGGTGTGTATGGATGTTTCCTAGTGATGGGTTGCAGCTGGTAGGGCATCCGCTGTGTAAAACATACTGTATGCTGGATAAGTTGGTAGTTTATTTTGCTGTGGCGACCACAGATTAATAAAGGGACCAAGCCGAAAAGAAAATAACTGAACGAATGATCCAACAGCCAATCACAAAGCAGAAATGTGCAACAATGAGAATCTGGAAGAGTGTTTAATATTAGAGATGCACCAAATTTTTGGCCACTGAAAATTTATCGGCCGAAGATATGTTACGCCAGTTAATGGACTCTAATTTTTGCAGATTCAGTCAATGTTGAGGTACTCTTTTAAATCGGGAAACATTAACAACTGATATCGAATTAAATATAATTATCGTTCAATATGGAAAATAATTATCGAGATTGCATTTTTGCCATATCACCCAGTCCTAAATAAACAACGTGAGAGAATGTTAGATAGGACAGTACAAGACTGAATGTTCTTCTTAGGTGGAAAAAAACAAACTAATGCAAGTGATGCGTCTCTTACTTGACAGATCTTTGCTGTCCTCCTCTTGCTCTATTATTTGCAGTGAGGGTCTGGTGACTCCTGGGATGTCCGGGAGGCAGCAGGGTGGGGTGCGAGCGATTGGAGAGTTTCGACATTCCAGCAGAAACTTTCGATCATAGATAATCCGAGTTCCTGCAGGGAAGATATCAATATTGGTTTAAGGGAAAAGAAAAAAAATGTTGGCACAAGCTGAAAGCATTTTTGCTTCGAGAAACGAGCTTCCTGTTGAGTTCAGCTCCATCTCTAAATACAGAAAAACATGTTGTGTCATCCAAGTAAATGTAAAGTTTGTCTAATGGAAATACATGCAAGCAGTGATTAAAACAAGGCGTCCCTGTTTAGATGTCCTGTAGTAACCCAAGGAGCGAGGAAATTGAGCAACATCGCCCTTTCTGCATAAAGAACCAGTGAAATTGGACTGCCTGAGGGTTGGCTTGATATGAAAAAATCCAAAACATGAACTCAAATCGGAAGGCTTACAAAATGAGTTATAGCAGGGTATCTTTTTAAATCAATATGATCTGCATGATTATGATTGTGCCTGAGATATGGTCACAGCTGACAGGTTTATATGAATAAATTGTGCTGTAACAAACTAAACCAACTTTGCAGTCACATTTCTCCATGTGAGTTTTCCCATGTGATCAGTATTGAATCTGGGTGTTAAGTTATAGTTTATAAATGTGTTTTAAGTTCAAGAAAGTCTATTAACATTCCTTTATTTATATTTTAATTTTTAAACTGTCTCCTGAATTTGCTGTACATATATTTAAACAAAAGGTTAGTGCAATTTAAAAAAGGTGGACAAAAGTTATAGATAACGTTAAGGTCCAGAAAACATTTCTATTTATCAAATTTCGTAAATTATCATAAACAACTATCTATTTTACGACGCAATTGTTCAGTTTTAGACAGTATAGTAAAGAGATAAAATGTGGTTTAAACCTATTGCAAAAGTGCTTTGAAGCACAAGTGCATCGGTGAGAAAAAAATTAATCGATTTGTCACTGCTCACAGGACTGTTTAAGTTGTAAACAGCGCATAGCCTGCGGCATATGATTGCGCAGTCGAGCTCACGTCATACAAAAACAAAGCGTGCACGGGTAACTTACGCAGAGAAACTTGCACAAAACTAAACCACTCGTCTAGTACAATACACTTATGATACACGAGGTCAAATAACTCACCGCCGGGGGTTGTTGAAAACACAGTTCCTCCTGGTGTCTGACTGTAACTGTCCGGAAGCGGAGACCAGCTCTTCTCATGAATGGAGCGGCTTGGGATCGGGCAGGTCGACGAAGCTTCACTGTTTGACATGATTTGTTTAAAGTTAGCGAGTCTTTCACGTACACACAGTAAAGTCTCGGTTCATTTACTAGGAGCGCTGCGTGTTTCTGTCCTCCACATGTTTATTGAGAGGGGGGGCGGAGCTTTGTCACGTGACATATTCGGCCAATCAGAAACAACAATCACACTCCGTACTAACAGCGCTGAGGCCCTCGATAAGGAGCAAGCGCTTAGCCATTTCACGGAATGCAAGCTCCATGAACTGCACGAGTCAGTCGGAGCGAGGACACGGTGAAACAAAACAACGCGTGCAGTGCGAAAAGCCTGACCTACCTGAGGAATAGTCACCTCGACTTGACCCAAGGTTTCACTCCCTGAACTGGCTGCACATCTGGACATTTTCTGCATGAAAGACATGAGCTGTGCTGTATCACGCTTAGATGTGCTGCCTATATTTGTTGGCACCTTAACCATTTTAAAAGCCCGAAATTGAAGAAAAAACACCCTTTACGTGTCCCCATTGAATGCATATAAAGTGAAAAAGGGACATGTGTTTTTGACCTTGTGTTTGTTTGGGCTAAAATTTTTAATTGAGCAAATCTAAATGTTTGCTGGGTATAATGCTTTATAAACACATCAACTATAACACAATAATTATAATTATTCATTTTTTTTCTCTTCACTTTTGTCAATTGGTGAAGCTTGTATTTTGCCAGTGTGGCCACTGGCTTGCTTGGTTTGGGATGTGTGGAGATGCACATTGATGGATTTGCTCTTCAGTATTTGGACATTCAGCAGTGAAATTTAAATTACACTGAACTGAACTTAAACTCCGAAAACTGGACTGACATTGTTTTAATTTACTAGAACTTCTATGTAAAGCTGTTTTGACACAATCTACATTGTAAAAGCCCTATAGAAATAAACATGAATTGAATTGAATCATGAAATAGAATTCATACATTGCATGTAAGATTTCCCCCCTAAGACTAGCACATTATAAATTTAGGAGGATTTAAAAATAAACTATCCAAATGATACTGGCATGCTTCAAACAATTCACACATTTCACAAATTATGGAATGTAGTTAACAAAAAAAATGTGCTTAAATATACTTTATATTTTTTAATCACAAAAGTTACTCCAAACAATGTTTACCAAGCTGTTTTAAACTAGGAAACGTTCACAAAAAAAAAAACCATTTATTTTAGTATTCTTTACACAGAAATAAAATTCATAATGTACAAAAGCTAATCTTACTACCCCTGAGACCCAGCATTGTAAAACTACAACACTGCCATACGCTCAAAATGTAGTATAATCAAAGCATTCAACACTGCCTTCACATCTGCATCTAGATATTGGACTAATCAAAGAAGTTTCTAGAAACTTGTTACCTAAGTGCTGATTTATCTAGTTTAATGAAACAAAATGATGTTTTAATGCAAGTTCTCAGGTTGTGTGAGTTCATGGCCCATTAACTAAATCATTTATCCAATGATAGAATAAATCTACCATCCCATAGCATTGCAATAGGACTTTTTATTTGTGTAAAACTGGTCTTAGAGAGAAAAAAGGTTTAAAGGGTTTAAATAAGTACAGCTAAAACGGATGTTGTAATATTACAGGTTAAAGTTTAAATTCCTGGTAGGTCATCCTGACATTATGGTCAGACTTTCAGAACACAGAGAAATGTGCAAACATGTCCATTTACATGCCAAAATAATGTCTTATAGAAGTTAGAAATCAAACTAGTCCTAGTACAGTGTGTGCCTTAATGTACCAGCGTGCCTTATTTTAAAAACATAACAGGCAACTAGTATCATAAACTCAACGGACTGAAATAACTTTCACACCAGATACATTTCCAACTTTTTATTGAATATTAAGGTAAATATTTCACATTAATACAAGCTACATAAAGTAGAGCCACTATACGACATGAAATTTACTCTCATTTTTAACCCTTTTTTCAGTATGTAAACAATTATACAGGTATTTACCACTCTAAAAGGTCTGATTTCATTCTTTACGCAATCATCTAGGTCTTGGCCAAGTATAAATAGCGCACTGTCCTATTGAGCCCTGCCGACCAAGAACACTTTTACGTGGGGCTTATATGTCAAAATGGCTATACTACTCAGTATGTATCCTGTTGAACAGGCAATCGATTTGTTCATAGACAGTGGTAAACACGTTAAATCCCACACTGGATTCTTTCTTTTTAGTTAGGCACATCGAGGGTGTCCGTCTCTCAAATTTCTGAACTTGTTTTAACATTTTTGGGGGGACACATCTAGGTTAATACCACGTCTCAGTAATTAGGTAATTATCTTGTTCTTTTTAACGTGTTTCTTGTTACTGCTCCTAGGCCTCTCGATCACAGTTTAGTTGACATGATTCAGATGCACATTTCCCACATGTGGAGCCCAAGTGCCTGGCCATACCTGCAACAACAAGATCGCAAGAGTCAGGACAACAAAAAAGCAGCTTCTAATTTATAAGCTCTTTCAGTCGGGGTTGGCAACTACCTGCTGTGGGTCTGCGTTCTCAGCAGAGTTGGGTACAACCTTTAGGATGGGGTTCCAGGCAGGGTCAGAAGTGTGAAGACCGTTGTAGACAGGGCCTCCAGGACCCTCCGCCATCTGAGGGTGAGGAGGGATCATCGTGCCACCGTACATTGACATTGGCAGCCCCTGAAGAGTTCACAAAACACAAGAGTTGCTGTGGAGGTACAAACTGAAATTGCCCTTTTTGTGCAGAACTAATGGAGGGTTCAGACTGCACTTGAATTGCATTCGGCGACAAATTGCAAAATCAGCCAATGCAAGAGCACTATACAGGGTAGTGGGAGGTTTGGGGAGGAATTATATTATGTATCAGACATACACTGCTTTTAATTTGATGTCAATCCATTTGCCCAAATCCCTTTAAAGGAGTGAGGAATTCGAATAGATAAAGAGAATCTTAAGTATCTGCTGGTTGACACCCACTAAAAAAATGTGGCATGAGGAGAAAAAAATGTACTTTCTACTTGTTTTTTTTTTTTAGTTTTTTGGATACTTTATCATGGTCAAACAATGTAAATGGCTTAAAATCCTATAGGTATTTTGTCTACAAAGTATAACGTTCACTTGTAATTATTAAAGTATTCAAGTCTGTCAGTTGAAACAATTTATTTATTTTTTGCTAATCTTAGCCAATTGTAATTGTTTGTTTTGGTTCAATTAGAGATTTCCACAACAAATGTAGAGCCCCAGGAACCAAAAAGAGGCTGAGTTGGCATTTAATCTTTTATAATGAGTTTTACTAGATGTTGGGAGGGCAGAAATTAGCTTTTTTTCCTAAATCTTTTCCCTCAAAATGATTGTATTTTTAATCATTAATTACACCTGGCATAATGTTCTGTCTTTTTGCACACTGTTCATGTACCAGTTGTAATGTTCTATGTGAAGTTATGCATGTTGATATATGATGGGTGGGTGGGCGTAGAGAAAGACACCAAACTTCCCTGCACAATGAAGTATGGGGCTCTACAGTATCCAACAGTTGTACCTCTCAAAATCATTTATTCTGTTTGGAACGACATTTCAATTTGGAGGCCATGATTGTTTTGATTGTCATGAAGTGCCCTTCTGAGGGTTATATATATACCATTCGAAACACACAGAGAGAGTTGTTGGCAGACCCCCTAGTTTTTCACAATTTCTTGTGTGATTTTTTTGCGATAAAAATTATAAATAATTTGTGGTAGTAATTCCCAGAAATTTGCAGACAATTTTGTAATTAAAACATATTTAAATATTAAAAACATTTATAATATAAAAATGTGTATATATACAGTATATATATATATATATATATATATATATATATATATTTATATATATATATATATATATATATATATATATATATATATATATATATATATATATATAAATAATATTTAGCATATTAGGTAGCCTACATTGTTGTTAGGTGTGCAATTTGATACAATGGCAATGACACAATGCATAAAATTAAAGCTTTTTATTTTGGACTGTTTTGTTTTGGACATCATTGTTCTGTGTGTACCTTTGGAAAATCCATGAAGTTGGTGGGCAAAGGTTGATGGAAAGTATTAGATGGAGCCACAATCCCAGTGTCATCTCGTTCCATAGCCTGGTGTTGAGAGAAGGCTGAAGGCTCCTGCATCTGCTGGTGCATCACTGGCCCTCCTCCCATCAGGGGTTGTGACCAGCCGGACATCGTCTCTGCAAAGAACAAAAACAGACATATTAAAGTTTAAGTTAGTTTATTTATTGCCACATCAGCAACTTATGGCTATTTTATGCTAAGATCAACATCTAGATAAAACATTTTACATAACTTCAGATTTCAATAAGACATGACACAACATAAATAAATACATATAAATAAATAGAAATAACAAACACATTTAAAACATTAGATATGATTTTTTAACTTCAATCAATGTTTGATAAATAACTCTTTAGGGCATACATTTTAAAAACATCCAAAGCATTGAGTACAAAAATCTTGTCTAGAAGTCTTTAAAACTTCACATTCTAAGAAAATGTTTTATGGTGAGAGAGAGGCTTAACTGTGATTTTACACTGATGGTATGTCAAAAATTAAATGTAAAAATTGTATCAGATATATGCTTGGGTTGATCTCTTGCAATTTATTATCCGATTGTTTGCAGTATAAATACATATACATACATACATACATACATACATACATATAGATCGGAAGAAAGTACTTTTTTTGTCTGCATCATCTGTCAGTTCTATATTAACTTCAAGTTTAATGCCCAATGATTGGTACTACATAAGTAAATAATTTCCTTTGTAAAACCATTTGTAAATGTCAACTACATCTAAGTCATGCTCACCGGAGGCACTGCCCACTCCAAAAGACCAGATGCCACCCTGTCCAACTGGTGGGGTGTAGCTGGTGGGTAGCATGGTGTGGTTGACTGAGCCAGTTTGCCGGATTCGGGCCAAGCGCTCTGTTCCGATGGGTGGGGGCACTTTGCGGTCCTGCTGGTTGGAGCTACTAGGTTTTGCCTGGATCAGAGCAGG